GGATTGGAGAAGCGGAGAGAGGTGTAGTTGAGGAAAGGGTGCGAGAGAAATGTCAAATGGGTTTTGTGCCATAGGAAGAACTCTTGGACTCGAGTTCTTCTCAAATCCCTATATCAACATCATTTATATTTAACAGCATAAATGTGTGTGTATGTGTGTGTTACAAATATATAAATTGATTTTATACTTTCTCTTTTTCTCTCTCTATGATCACTGCTTTTGTGCTCTAGTGATTTTCTGGTTCCTCTTTCTCTCTCTCCTCCATTTCTAAAACCTAAACGAGGATGGGAGAGGGTTGCAGAGGTAATTATATAAGTTCAGCCTAACTTGATAAAAAGGTAAAAATAAACTTCGAAAACCCATTAAAACGTGGTCGTATCCTTAGGCCTGTTTGGAAGTCCAAATCTGATATTGTTTTGATATTTTGGTTTTGTATTTCGGGCCAATAGCACGCTTAGAGTGAGCTGATGTGATATTAAATAATGTCAAAACATTACTAGATTTGTGCCAAAACCCATATCACCAATTTGGTGATATTGGGTGTTTTGGCTACTGTAGTGGAGATATTAGCCCAAACTGATATCAATTATCAAAATACTGTAGCGGCCATAATAGGTATATAATATCGCAAATCAGAAAACTTTCATTTTTCAGCCTCATTTTCTCTCTCTTCGCGCAGCTCCTTGGAGGCGATTTCATGGGCCAAATACAGTGTAGCTAAACCAAAGTCACACAATTTCTCCTTTTATCCTTCACAAACCTTAACTCCATACACAACCTCCTCCACCACCGATCTGGCAGATCTGATGAGCTCCTCCACTAGCAAGAACAACCAGTTCTTTTACTTTCCCTAAAGCCGATCTCCTCCACCGCCCACATCCACCAGCAAGAAGAACCTGCTCATCATTTTTCTCTCACAACCAGGTAATATTCACCTATCTTCATCATTTTTAAGCTAGGGTTTGTTAACAATTTTTTTTTCAAGGTCAAATCTTTTCAATTTTAGTTGAATCTTGAGGGTTTAATTTGTAGGTCAAATCTTTCACTTTACAGAAGCACTTAATTGTTTTGCTGATGATTCCTTAATTTGTTTATTCCGTTCTTCAATTGTTTTGCTTGTTCTACAGATTTTGTACTAGTTTCTTCTCGAGGGTTGAATTTGTTTACAGCAGAACACTTTTTAGGTGGCCAAAATTGGAAAATTTATAAATTTTTAAGCGAAGGTTTGTTGAATTTGTTTATAGCAGAACACTTTAAGTGTATTAATTGTGAGGAAATTTATAAATAGGCTAGGGAAGAGACCAAAGGGTTGAAGCAACTTCCTATCCAATTGAAGCAGAATTCCTAAATTTAGGTGTCAACAACAATTTGTAGCAATCTGAGTAATTGTTTTCATGCAAAGACTTCTGTAGCAAAAAGGAGACCATTTTGCAATGAAATTATATATGTTGCAAATTGTAAATTATATATTTCAAATTACTTTGGCGCTCTAAAATTTCTTCTCAGGAATTTTTTTTTAGCTTAACATAGCATATATATGCTTGATTTAAAAAATTATACATTTCTTTTTTATTTTGTATCAAATGTGGTTTATTGAATACACTTTGACAAAGCTTTATTTATTTTTTTGAAAGGTATTTGACAAAGCTTATGTGTATTCATATATACATTCGTTTGTGGGTTGAGCTGGTTTGACAAAATTTCTCACTACCTTTCACCTACCGGACCTTGTTTGGTCACTAAAAAATTAAATACACTGTGTGTAGTAGTATTGAATTATCACTTTAAAATTAGAATTCGATAAACAATTTACTAAAGTGTGAAATTTACTTAATAATAATTGATGGACATGAACAATGACAATGTTTTTTTTTACTTTCTTCTTTTTTTCCCCCTTTGTTTTGAAATTATTGAATGGGTTAGCAGTTTAGTCACTGCCACTCTCTTTACTTTCTAATGCAAATTCTTGTTTAGCCTCTTGTGTTTTTTCTATGTGGTTTAATTTTTGTGTGTGTTTGTGTTTGTGTTTGCGTTTGTGTTGTGTCTATATATATATATATATATATATTTATGTTTGATGTTGTTAACTCTAATTAAGGCTTGAAGAAGCTTCTCCTATTGTTGAAATATTTGTGTAGCATATTGTGCGTTTTCTTTTGAAATGGGAAATTGATGTAGTAGCTGAGGAGTGAGGATTGATGTGTGTGTGTTTTGTCAGAATCTGAAGTAGCAGTGATGGATCAATAGAAGCTTGGTAGAGTAAGAATGCGCAAACAGGAGGATTGAGGAATATAGATGGAGCAGTAGCAGCAGCATAACATACACATGGATCATCCCAAACAGGAGGATTGAGGGTTACCATTATTATGTATATCTCTTGTTAGTATGTAGTGTCACTATTAATTCTTGCAATTGGCTTGTTATTACCTCTATATTGAAAAATTAGGTTGTAGTCCTAGCAGTGATTCTGCAGATAATTCATGTTTTTCTTGCATCCCAGTTGGAACTTATTTAATCTTTAGTTTAATCTTCAGTTTTAAAACTCAAAACATTGATTAGAAGATATTGTTTTTACAGAGAGCGGAGGAAATTCACTAGTCTCATTGTAATAGCAATTTGGTCTTTGGCGAATAATGACCACTACAAATGCAAACCACAATTTTTATTCATACACTTGGAAGGAATGTAATGTAATCCAAAAGTAAAAGATAAATGGAGAGTAAAGATCTCCTCTCATTGAAAGATTATTACAAAATTAGAATTGTAATTTGGTTGCCACTAATCATATTTGTGCCTCGTAAAGATCCCACATGATCTTATTTATACATGTAAATTTATTAATAATTTTTTTTTTCAACTCTTAATGGAGAATATATATATATATTTTTAAATTTTAACAAATTATCTCAAATCATAAAAAAAAGGACTATTACATATAAATTTATAATTGTATTAATATATATTTAATTATTCAAAATAAAAATAAAATAGTTTTTACCAAACAGGTATCCTATTATTGATTTAGAATTCGCATGACATTGCCAAATGCGTTTTCATATTTTTGTTTTCGAATTATCAAAAACAAAACAGTCGTTACCAAACATGGTTACGATTTCTACTAAAAACATACCAATACTAAAATGATTGTTTTCATATCATATCAAACCATAACGCCTATTTGATATTGCGATCCGAATGAGCCCTTACCAATTCTGTAATAGTAAAGACTGACTCCACAGGCAAAAACGACGGCGTATGGTTTTTGGTGCTTCAAATAATAATACAAATAAAGTAATACGGAATAATCAAAATTGCTTATCAAAACAAACAAATATGTATATGTGTGTGTGCTATATATATATATTTATATATATATAGAAAAAAAAAGAAAAAAAGAAAAGAAAGGGTAAAGTGAATCAAAAAAAAAAAAAAACTGAATTAGAAATTTTTTTATCATGTATTTTTAAATAACTTCCTCAAAACTTCAAAAAAAAAAAAAAGAGAGAGAGAAAGAATTCACTAAACTATACAAAATTTGCAAATAACCTATACTCCATATTCAACTTAATGTAATTAGATAATAAAAAATTAAACTATACAAAAAGAAATATATGCCTTACACCAGCGTTTCGTAAGAAAACGCTGTTAATTCACCAGCGTCTTGTAAAAAAACGCTGGTATAAATGAACGCGCGTAAGTTGGTAACTGCGAAATTTAGTGTATTTTTTAATCGCGGGAAAATTTGGCGCTAATAAATTTTACTTTACCAATTTCCCTCGTCATCCGTCTACTCTGTGCCCTAGCCTAGCTGTGTGTTCATCCGTCTCCCCTCTGCTCGATCTCGATCTCTCACTGCTCGATCTCCATTTCTCAGCTGAAGCCCTTGATTGATGTTTGCTAACCCCGTGTCTCTTTCGGCATTATCTCATCTGAGATTACAAAGTTGAAGCCCTAGGTTTCTCTTCAGGCTGTCTCTCCTTTGTCTCGATCTCTAACCAGCTGCTCGATCTCCAAGAGCTGTTAATTTATGTCATTTCGAGATCTTACTCACTAGATTTTCCTCCCAAAGCGTTCTCGCTAAAGCTGAGTCTCAGGTACCTCTTTGTTTCATTTTAATTTCTTTGTGGTTTTGTTGTTTTATTTCTCACTGATCATTCATTTTACGCAATTCTAGGGTTAGTCGTGCTTGTTTTTGATTCAGCAGCCCCCATGGAATGATGGGTCTGCTTTAGTTTTACACAAGGATGGGTCTGTTTTAGTTTTACAAAATTCAATTTGTTGGATTCTCGACGATTGAATTTTATTGTGGTTCATCAAATTAGGGTTTATAAAATTTAATATGATAATATAATATATAATATGATTAGTATATAATATGATTTTTCAAGATTATTTCCATTTCCCAGCTGAAGACCTTGATTGATCAGGCCGTTTCTCAGCTGCAAGGCTAACCCGTCTCTCTTTGGGTATTTCATCTGAGATTACAAAGTTGAAGCCCTAGGTTTCTCTTCAAGCAATCTCGCCTTTGCTCGATCTCCATAACTCTCAGGTAACTTTTTTGCTTGTGATGGTTGGGGAAATTTCTGCCCTTTCACTCTCTATATGTATATATTAAAAATTATTATGGTTCGATTTCATGGAAATACATATAAAGTCTTTTGTATGAAAAGTTTTTCCTGGAAATCAATTATCGTATTTAAAAAAATAGTCATGGGCAATAAATGGATCGAGCATTGTAAGTTGAGTTCCTCTTGGTACTTGTTTATTTTTTGTACATGGGCTCTGCTATATGCAGAGATTTGTTGTTGTGTTTCTTTGTGTGCTCTGCTATAACCTGAGTTATTATTCAATTGCCTGTGGCTCCCATAGCTTGAATATCTCTGTCTGTAGGTTTAGCGGTTGAAGTCGGATTGCCAACTGGCGGTTTACAAATGCATGCAGAAGTTAATCCACAGATATTGAATAATAACTCAGGTTTACTTTCAAAAAAGGAAAACACTTTCATATACCTATAAACACATGATGCATGGTTGAATACTGGTGAGGCGCTCCCATAGAAGCAATCATGCATACATGGATATTACCATGCATGCATAAACACATGCATGCCCATACACTGAGATGTACATACATTTATTTGAGTCATAAGTTATGAAGATCATTCTTGGTTTTCCGGTGTGAATTGATCGTTTTATTATGGTTCATAGTTACTTTAGAGAAGTTTTATTAGTCAAAGTCTTTAAATTTTTATATTTCAAATCTATATTTGGAGTCATAGTCCTAAATGCTGTATGAAATTTCTAGCAAATTTACACATACTTAGATTGTCTTTTAATTTCAGTAAAGATCAGTTTATTGAATTTTCAGAAGCTATTTTAGTTCTTCTAACCTTAGTTGTGATGCCTAACTTATTTATTTTGTTATCATTATTATTTTTTTTGTTAAAGTTTCTGCACTTTTTTTTAGCCCTTGCAAGAGATAATCAGACTTGTTTACCCTTAAGATCCTATCTTACAAGTCCTAACCCTTCCATATTCAATTATTCAACTGCTGTGCACAAAAAAGCTAATATTTTCTTGTGGGTTACTATTCTCAGTCCTTTAACTCTCCCTTTTTCATCCCCAAACTCTTTTGTACCAGCTCAAAATCAATGTTAACCCTTTTTCTTATCTTTAGGCCCTCAAAATCATACTTAAATTCCACAATCTGTCCAGAATTTCCTGCAACCTTCGTCTCTGGAACCAAGTGATTTTCAACGGCTCTTCATGAAAACTTCCTATTTTTCAACAAACTAAAACCATAAATATATAAGATTTCCACGAATTAAGCCCACAATAAAATCAATTATTCGGGGTTCTATTACTACTTTTACAGTGCTGTTCTATATCACCTTTGCTGTCATAGTTTGTAGGATAGTATTCTCTACACTCTACAACAAAACTATTTGGTAGAAGCAAATCTTAGTCTTGCATAGAAATATATAAATGTTAATTAATTTAACTCCTCACCATTTTTGGAGGGATGAAGTTTCGTAGATGTGACATGAAAATGTGATTATGAATATTCTTTTTTTCGGAAATTGAAGCAAGGGGATTTTGAATATTTTGTATATAACCTTATAGTCTTATTGCAACAATTATTTACTAATGTTGTTAATCTATTACTGTACTCTTTCCTCGTATGTTTCTACGCTTGATACAGCATAAGACTATTGATAGTGTCCTTGCGCGTGGTGAGAAGCTAGACAGTTTAATTGGGAAGAGTTCAGATCTCAGTGCTGCTTCACAGCTACATACTTGTAATTTGTGCATACTTGCACTAGCACAACATCTGTTTGTTCAAACTTCTGTTCACCATGGAGCATTTACATAGCATATGTCTTTTTGGTTTACTTATATTCTCTATTAATGATCACAATGTGTCCGTGTTGAACCTCATTGAAGTTTATAATATACTGCATCCATGTCAACTGTTAGTTGTAAGATTATCAACGCAACTGATCAGTGTGTGGGGTTGCATCGTTATTGTGCTTTTTTTTTTTTTTACTTGTTTCAAAGTGCCTCTATTCTTGCAATTTGGGTCATGGCTTCGATCTATAACTGAATGAATGCTTGCCTGCATCAGAGGTTCCAATTATTGGGATATAAGCTTTTTTTAATTACTATTAGTAGTACAAGAAAAAATCATTGATTTCACTTGGTGGAACACTGGATGCATAACATTTTTAATCTAGTTTATGATATGACAGGGTTTTCTGCAAGAGGTTATCGTTGGTCTAAAATTTTGGATTTGGAGTTGCTTATTGGTCTTCTTTGAGCACTAATTAAAATGAAATCAAATCGTTAAAAAAAGGTATTTAAAAAGAATAAAAAAGTAACAGCAAAATTAATCATGACTACTCCATAAAAACAAATTCCTCAACAAAATGTAGCCAGGGTTCCTAAGAATGATCAAGTCCCTTATTACATCACAAATTGAAAGTTCTGTTTTCTGGATAAATTGTAAAATATATGATATTTTGTAGAGTTTTCAATGATATTTATATGAATTCTCACTTTTTTGTTTGCTTCTCCAGGAAGGATAAATAATAAGCTGACAATGAAACGAACGGTTAGTGAAATGGAAAAAGTGAGTGAAGAAAATACCGAAGCTTCAACTTCAAAATCATCCCAACCACCAGCGAAGAAGAGACGGGGCCCAACACGATGCAAGAATGTCGTAAACGCGACAACCTTAATACCATTAAGGTACATATATATAGAGATCATCTTATATAGTTTACATAATTAGACTATATTCAATATGAAGGAGAAAAAAGGAATTGCATCTTTATTTTTGTACTAAACATCTACAATTGTTAATTTTTGTTTAGGGTTAATAAATATGGACAGCCGATCGGTCCTGGAAGTGGTACGTATACTAATTATTTGGGAACACTTGCCCGGAGTGCTAGATTAGCTCCTTTGTGCTACAAAACTTGGTGGGAGATGTCTAAACGGTTTAAAGAGGATATGTGGAACATTGTAAAGGTAAAACCCTTCAATAACATTAAAATAATTTTGATGGAAAAAGTGGATTAACATGTAGCAATTATCACATTTTCAGGGAAAGTATGATGTGGGAATCATATCAAAACAATGGACATTATCCGCCATCGGAACAAAATGGATAGGGTACAAGTGTGAATTAAAAAGCGAATACTACTCGGTTCGGGATACAGATGCAGAAAGATTGGCAAACCCACCTCCTGATGTTGAGAAGGAGCATTGGGAATTTTTGGTTAGGCATTGGGCCTATGGTAAAGGTAATCCTCCATCTACCAATTTTGTTTAAAGTCAATGAGTTGAATTTATAGTTTACCTGCTTTCAGTCATTATTTTATGTGGAATGTTCTTTACTCAAAGAATGTTACCTTTTCTCACTTTTTGTAGGAGGTTAGCGAAAAAAACAAAGAACGTCGTGGGAAGCAGATAATGCTGCATACTACAAGGACAAAAAACTTTGCACGTGTTTCTGCCGAGGTTAGTTGAAGTTTTGGCAATATAAATTATTTCAATTCTTATATCGTTGAATGATTATAAATGTTAGTGGTAAATAATATATGTCACAATGTCTGTGTTTCTTTTATAGATTGAGGAAGGTATTCAGCTTTCTCGTGCAGATTTATTCCTTTGCACACATATAAATAAGGATGGCAATGCTACTGATGCTGCTGCGTCAGAGATGATTGTAAGTTTTCGTGCTTCCAATTTGCAAAAAGGGGGTCACGTGCCTTGAAGTGACCAATTTTTAAATTCTTTGTTGTGTATTAGGGGGTCACATGCCTTGAAGTGACCAATTTTTAAATCATCAGCCAGTGTGGGGGTATTTTAATTTCATTGTTTATCATCGGCCCGTGTGGAGGCAATTTACTTTCTTGTATTTGTTGAAAAGCATGGGAGCATGAGATCATTGTATGTGGAGACTTCTTGTTGATTGATTTGTGTTGTGGAGTAGAAGTATTTGCTATTTGTTGTTTGTTGTTTGTGTTCATTTGCATTGTGCATGCATGGTCGTCTAATGACTAAGAATTAATTAATTTCGTAAACTAAGAGCAATGCCCTCATGGTTGTAACTTGCATAAGTTTGTTAGGAACAACTTTTCCTAATCTTTCTATGCCGACTGGTCTTCCCTCCTTGTCAATGCCATGATAACTTGCATAAGTTTGTTAGGAACAACTTTTCCTAATCTTTCTATGTAGACTGGTCTTCCTTCCTTGTCAATGCCATGATAACTGTTTAATACCGTGGTATTCAATGACCAAAGTAGAGCTCAATATTGCTATTATTCAGTTTACGAAGCTTTGTTCTATTAGTGTTCTTCTGAAATTTAATTTATTTCTAAACAACTAGGATTAGGAATCCAGAATCTCAGGTCATTAGATGACATGAACAGATTTTTTTTGGTCCCAACTTCTATTAAGCTAAAAGGTTGTTTTTGAAAATTTAAACTAACTTGAATAATGTCTCTGCAATTTATGAATCGCCGGAGCATTCTAAAACAGATGATTACTTTTTTATTTTATTTAGAAAATATTGTAATTCTATTTCTTCTACGGCAGAATAGATATTATAATAAAAAAAATAGGATTCCAGAAAATATGATTTAAAATTAAATAAATAATTACTCCAAGAAAATGATTATTCAAAAGGATAGATGAAAATATGATTTCTAACTTGACGAAATTGAGGGATATGAACATGAAGAATATTTCTACTAGAAAATTATAACTATATAAAAAAAATGATTAACGAGAAGATACAGATTTCTTTTAGAGAAATCAGCCTTAAAGATTATTTGTTTAAAAGGAATACATGTTTTAGAAATGCATCACTTTTAGAAAATACTAATGTAATTCAAAGATCAATAATTATTTCCAAAAATATAATTTTAGAAATTCCTTGCAAAATAATGAGGTTTCGGAAAATATGATTTCTTATAATATCATTTGTGATCTTTTGTTTAGGTAGTATGATTCTAAAGAATAAGAAACCTGATTGTTTAATTGCTTGATTCCAAATTCTTTTTTTGAAAGAAATGATGACCTTTAAAAAAAGGCATTAGTTTTTGGAAAATAATAATAATCTAACTGTTTAGTAAATATAATCTTATTTCATTTATAGAAAGTATGGTTCATGAGTAAACTAAAAGATCTGTAGTTTTTATTTTTTTATTTTTTTTATTTAGAAATATTTTACTACGATTTCACAACCAATATATATATATATATATATATATATATATAATTTCTTAGTTAAAAATATGGCTCTAAAGAATACAATAAAATGTAAAAATAAGTAGAGTCACAATTTAAGCAAAATAATTAAGACTTATAACTGGCTCACATAGCAATTAAAATGCCATGAAACTGCGACACCCGAGTAAATGTATCCGTATGCTAGGAAGGAAGGAGGAACGATGAAGGAAAGATAGGGGGGAAGGAATTTTTATGCACTCCCTAAAAAAAAATAATGATTATATACAGAGTACACAAAAAATCTGAATGTAATTGTATATAGAATGTATATAATAATAAAAAATCTGCCATATATGGTGTTGATATACCAAGTTTATGTCATCAGAAGGTATTTCTGTCTCAAAAATAAATGCCTGATTTTATGCAAATACCTTAGAGCCCTATAACTGCAGAGGCCCAATTCATCTAATTCTTGTTTGTTCTATGAAACCATTGGTAGCTTCCAGAGCCTTATATTTCTGGAATTGCTCCAGTGGAGTGCTGTTGCAGTCTGCTAGTCTTGGTACCTCATTTATGTGACAATTGTAGTCAAATTTGTCACAATGGAATTGTTATCTCTATGATAATAGATGAGGATTTAAAATTTCTGGTCCTTTTGGATTGTAGGCTGTTAACTATTATATATATATATATATGGCAAGAAACACACCTTTACTCACACTTTTTTGCCTACACTTTGGATTGGGTTAGATGTCCGTTGGTAACTTTTAACATTGTTAGACGTGACTATAATGTTTACTCCTTCCTATCATAGTAGTTACTATTTATTTTTGTTTTTAGAATTTTTTAGGGAGACATGCAATTAATGCATTATCTCCTTTTAAAATTGTCAAGTCGTTTATTTTGTTTTCTTTTTTTGCAGGAAAGCATAAAAGGTCTTCAAAAAAGTTATTCTGACTCGTCTATTGGCAGTTCCGAAGATTTGTTCTCCGTTATGAGGGGATAAGAGAGAATTGTTCGTGTGCGGATGCTTGGCTTGGGGCCTACACCAAGCGATGTTTGGGGGCCCTCTCCTAGTAAAGCTAACCTGAATAATAATGCCAAAACATCTGATGAGGAGACACGTGCTGCACGTGTAGAGTTGCAGGATACCATTTCAAAAATGCAAGCTGACTATGACGACAAGTTGGAAAATTTACGAGCCAACTATGATGACAAATTGAAAAATTTACAACAACAGGTGGCTATGCTAATGCATATGCAACAACAAAATTAAAGTAGACAGGTATATTTATTTTTAGTTTTACTCTTTACTGAATATACGTTTACTTATGCCAAGATTTCATGTATTTTGTTTTGTTATTTTGAAGGGTTATGATTCTTTAAATGTTCCTGGAGTATCTCCAAATTCATTTTCTAGTCATGATTCCAATTCAGTTAAGGTTATGAACTTTAATTTCTCTTATATGTTAAAATTTTCATTTATTATAATGTGCGCTTAATGAATTTATAAAAAATGTAGGGTAATTCAAATCAAATGGGCAAGAAGAGTTGTTGAAGTTGAAGCTGAAGATGGTGTTGTGATTGTGCTTTTTGAATTTCCTTCGCCTTGGATGGGTTCTTTTTGAAAAATTTCTACATTTGTCAAAAAAATTTAATTCTTTTTGTGTGACATTAATAGCTTTATTTAGACAATTTGGATGGTATATTTTCATATTGGTAGGTTAACATGTGGTTGTATTAGTAGTGATTGACATTTATCAGCTTTATCTATTAGTAGACAATTTCGATGGTATTTTCCATCTTGGCAGCAGGTTAACCATATTATGTAAAAACAATTTGGATGGTATTTTTATATTGCCAACTTGTGTTATATTGGATGACATTTAGCAGCTTTAACTTGGTGAAGATATTTTTTCAACAAAGCGCTGTGGTAAAGACCACATACCACCCTTTACCGGCGTTCCTCAAGGAGCATTTACCAGTGCTCTCGGTAAAGGGTATTTATCGGTGCTTTTTTAAGAAGCGCCGGTAGAAGGTCTTTACCAGCGCTTTTTTAAGAAGCGTCGGTAAAGGCCTACTGACACTGGATTCACCAGCGGTCTTCTATGAACGCTGGTAAAACATTAGTAATTGAATCATCATTTTTTTTTTTTTTGACTTGCACCAATGTTTTTGAGTGCTGGTGAAGAGTATAATTGTTGTAATATAAGTTACAAAAAATTGCAGATAGTCCTTTCTCTATTGAGTATTCAAATTTGAATATAAGAAGGGTAGCAATATAAAATTAAAGAATAGGGTATGCTGCACCCTATTCTTATAAAATTAAAATGTAAAAATAACCCCTAACATTATTTTGAAGACAAACCAAACCTATTAGGGCCCGTTTGGCATGCGTTTTACTTTAGGCGTTTTGTTTTTGGCTAAAACAGAAATAACGTTTTTACTATCAGAGTGTTTTGGCAAAAATCGGAAGCACGTTTGGAAACGATGTTTTGCTGTAGAAATGTCGGAAACAAAAATATGCAAAACACGTTTGGTAAGTCATGCGTTTCAAGAATTTTAAAAACAAAACATGTTTGGTAACTCCAACTGTTGTAAACAAAATAAAACAGAAATAAAAAATATGTTTGGTTATCATTGTTTTTAATTTATTTTTATAAATTTTAAATTTATTTATAAATTTATTTCTATATAAATAGTCTATATATTTTTAATAAATTTATTGAAATTTGAACACACAAACATATATATATATATATATATATATATATATATATATATATAACCAAAGTGTAATTACAGAAGCAACTGCTTTAGCGAAAATGTAGAATGTTAGTTCTAATAATTGAACCAATAATTTCAACCATTTTGCATGTTATCTTGATCTGAAACTACACTTCAAGTTATTTGAAATTTCTTGGTATAGTTTGTTCCTTTGGTGATGATTGTCCATAGGTTTGTATTTCATTCATTTTGCTCATTTTTCGCATTAGCGAAAGAAGAAAAAAAAAATACTACACAGCTCTAATAATAATTTTCGATTCTTGTAAGTCTGCACTGGTGGGAATTTAACTCCAAAATACAGATTCTTGCCTTCTCTTTTGTAAAAAAATGTAAACCCCCACCAAATTATATATATATTAATTTTTGCAATAACCTATTTACAAGTTATTTGCAATAACCTACTTCAAATTTATTATCATTATACCTGTATAGTCTAATTCAATATTAAAAATAAATAATCTCTAGTCACATTTTACTATACTACATGAGAGTCAATATTTGTAAAAAATTTTGCAATAACCTATTTACAAGTTCTTTGCAATAACCTGCTTTAATTTTATTATCATTATACCTGTATAGTCCAACTCATTATTAAAAATAAATAATCTCTAGTCACATTTTATTATACTACATGAGAGTCAACATTTGTAAAAAAAATTTGCAATAACCTATTTACAAGTTCTTTGCAATAACCTGCTTCAATTTTATTATCCTGATACCTGTATAGTCCAACACAACATTAAAATAAAAACAAACTCAATCGAAAGCATAATTGAAATAGAGTGTATAACATTTACAAGTCCTGAAATATTCAACCAACAAATTAAACACGTTTAAGTTGTACATAAAATGTTTGGAACAAAGCATTAACAATACGTAGTTGTCACTAAAAATTAATAAGAAGTTCATAAAGTGGATAACAATGGCAACGACACATCATCTTCATAACAGCACATGTGGCCTTCAAGAGAGCATCAACACACTTCATAACTGCAATAATAGCATTTAAGTTGAATTATATATCTGCAAAAAATATTTATATTACATATATATATTGCAAGCTCACAATAGTAACAAATATATTACATATAAAAGAAAAAATATACCATCACCTTCAGAAGGATCAAGAGTGCTGAAGAGAATTCCAAATCTGATCAGCAATAGTATTACGCAATTGATCCATTTCTCGAAGCTGAGCCGAAGGCACATGCTCAACAATCTCATCATCTTCACCATCACTTTAAGGAGGATCATTAGCATCAAATATGTCATCAGGCTGAAGCTGATTTTTGATAAAATTATGTAATGTGCAACAAACCATTACAATCAATACTTGTGTTGAAAACTTATAAGGAGGCATTGCCCTCAAAATAGCGAATCTCATCTTCAATAACCCAAAGCATCGCTCAATTATATTTCTCAAAGATGAATGTCTATGATTGAACACTTCCTCCCGACCACGAGGTTGTCTAGTCCTACGGTATTCTTGAAAGTGGTAAGTATGACCTCGAAATGGGGCCAAATAACCAGGCTTATTGGCATACCCTGAGTCCACCAAATAATACTTACCTGCCATGTTTAGAATACATAAAGATATATACAGTATGATAAACTAACCATATATTAAGTGAATTTATAAAAAAATATTACCTGCTGGTGGAGTTGGAAAGTTCATTGCCTCATTTTCAGTACACTCATTTAGGATTCTCGAATCATTAGCTGAGCCTTCCCACCCAGCTAGCACATATGTGAACCTCATGTCAAAGTCACATACAGCCATTACATTTTGTGTGGTATAACCCTTTCTACCACGAAATGGAAGTTGTGTACTTGCTGGCAGAGTTGCAGGAATGTGGGTTCCATCTATAGCTCCCACACAATGCCTGAAGTAAGGGTAAAACCTAGAAGACTCTCTAATCTTATTCGGAATCACAGAAAAATTAGGAGGGGTAATGATATGGGTGCCCAACTGACATACTGCATGCAACACAGCATGGAAGTGTCTAGAAATGGTTTCAGTGGAGTGTTGAAATCTCTCTGCTACAACACGATTCCTTTGATTATGAGATAAAGTGAGCAAAAAGATTGCCACTTGTTCATAAACAGTTAAAAATTTAGAATCCTTCAGCCCTATACCTTTCAGGGTACTACACAATATTCTAAAAACTTCAGGGTACATCCTAAAATTTTCATAACATCTTTCTCTATGGCCGTTTAAAATCTCCATAACATATGTTTCCCCTTGTAAAATAGAATCCCTACAACGCCTCTTTTGATAGAAGTTCTGCTCTTCTAAAAGAGCAGCAAATATTAAGACACTCTCATTATCCTCCTCATCGTCAGATAATTGAATTATTCTTCTTATATTGTTCCACACATCCATTACCCTATTTAAAGATTTAATACAAGCAAAGCATTTAAGTTAATAAGCAAATCAATTAAATAATAAACAAATCAATTAAATAATAAAACAAACATTTAAATAATGGTATTAAAGTATTTGAGTACTAACAGGCATCCAAGAAATAAAAGTATTTAAGTTATTATAGCCATCCAAATGTGAGATAATAAAAGTATTTAAGTTATTACAGCAATCCAGATGTGAGATAATAAAAATATTTAAGTTATTGCAGTAATCCAAATGTGAGATAATAAAAGTATTTAAGTTATTACAGTTATCCAGATGTGAGATAATAAAAATATTTAAGTTATTACAGTCATCCAAATGTGAGATAATAAAAGTATTTAAGTTATTACACTTATCCAAATGTGAGATAGTAATAAGTTAAATGATGACACAAAACACAATCATCCATAAAGAAAAACTCAAGCATTCAGTGCCCAACCAATTCTTACATCCTCAGGTGCCGAAAGAAAAAATTTCTGCCACTTCTCAGAATCATGTAATAACTTCGATACCTTAGCGAATTGGGCCATCTCAATTCCAGGTATTTTTTTGTAAAAGGAGCATGGAGGCGTCAAACATTTCATAATCTCTATCCTTTTTTGAGGGAGAGAGAACTTCATCATCTCCTTTCTCACATGAAGATACACGAGTAGAAGTAGAAGACGCTTTAGCTGCTTTCTCTATTGCATCTTCCATTCTCTCAGCTCTCCTCTCAGAATTCTCATTCATGTTTGACAAGAGTGCAGCTATACCAGGAGATAAAGCATCTCTTTTGGCTTTCTTACCTTTACGTAAAGGTGGGGGACTGACCTCACAACCCTCTTCCTCATCATCGTCATCATTGGGAGTGGGCAAAATGATTGTGGGTGGTGCTGTAGTGGATGGGTGGGCATGCATCCCTCTTGCATATGTGGCCCCAAATATAGTCGACATCTTGTCAAAATGCTTACATCCATACTTTTTATACTTATTTGCATTCGTAACAACTTACAAATTTTGTTACAATATTAACCACATAACCAATAATATACAAGATTTTATTATTTATTTATGACTAATAATTAAATTACTAACCTTGCACAACCTGTCCCATCTCTCTTCCTCAACTATAACCATGCCCGTCTCATGGTTATATCCCACGCCAGTCTCCGATAATAATTTCTTAAACTCAGTATAAATTTTCCTCAAACCATTAAACTTATTCTGAAGTTGGGTTAAACCAAATTTTCTCCCCGTTTGAACATTCATTTGTTTGACTAAATTACTCCAACCACTTTTACTAAATGTTGTGCCACTACGATTATTAGCCTTAACTTCTTCCACCATAATATTCACGAATTTTTCAATGAGTGACTCATCCCATAACAATTTTCCATCGTTCGTAACTTCAACCACTTCTTCAACTGTGAGAGAATCACCGCATTGTTCCACATTCTCAACATTCATATTCATCTAACATATTAATAACAACACTATAATTAATAACAAAATTAAAAGAGGAAAAGGAAGAAAAAAACAAAAAAAAAGTGATTCAAAAAGTTCTCTAATTAGATAAACTAAAACCCCAAAAATATTATAGGAAACTTCAAAGACAGAAACATAGCAAAATTCTGTAAATGAAATGTAAATGTGTTATAAATGAAATGAAATTCAATTATAACACACCAAATAACATATTACCATTTGCTTAG